GGGCGGGCCATATAAAAGGGGGGGGCACGGGGGGGGTGAGGGTGGCTTAATTCTGGTTTTTCCTTGCAAAGAGCAGCCTGGAATAAGGAGGAATGAGGCAAAGGGAAGGAAAAGGGAAGGAAAATGGATGGAAACGGGACAGTAACGAGAGGGAAAAGGGATGGCAAAGGGGCAGAAAATGGAAGGAAGAGGGAAGGAAAATGGAAGGAAAAGGAATGGAAAAGGGAAGGGAAATGGAAGGAAAAGGGAAGGGAAAGGAACGGGAAGGAAAAGGGAAGGGAAATGGAAGGGAAAGGAACGGAAAATGGAAGGGGAAGGGAAGGAAAATGGAAGGGGAAGGGAAGGAAAATGGAAGAAAAGGGATGGCAAAGGGAAGGAAAAAGGATGGCAAACCCACGGGCCTTCCCCAGGCACGCAGGGCTCTCCCAGGCTCAAAGGGCCGGTCTCCTGCCAGCTGGGGCGCTTCCTGCTGGAAATTCACCACCACAGGGCCAGCTGCCTCCCCAAGCGCACGCGTTTGAATCCCAGACCCTGGGGGATGATCTAAAATGAAACACCCCCCTGGTAAATCCTTAGTGTGCAGTGCCAGGAAAGCCCAGGAGCATTCTCTTCCAGTGTTTTATTTTGTGATGTCAACATAAAGAAGTCCCCATGCGAGAGGGTAGGAGAGAAGATACTGAGTTTAGGTTTGACATCACAGGATTGATGCTTTGAAGTCAGCAGCTGTGCCAAGAGGGGAGGCGGTTCTGTTAGAAGGTGGCAAATAGGATAGTGTGGTCTTGCTTGCCCCCCTGCGAGGGGCCGGGGCTGCATCTGTGGGTAGCAGAGGAACTTCTGAAATGGGGAAATTCTGTCCTCACCTCTTCAGGCTGGAAGCAGGTCCAGCCAAACTCTAAATTTACCATCCTGGGCTACGGATCAATGAACCTTTTCGGAGATAGCCCTAATGGCTTCCCCGTAGCTGGGGCAACGAGCATGCCCGATAACGAGGTTATAATGCCCTTTGCTGACAAAAGAGATGAACAGTGCATAATGGGCCGCGTCCTGCAGGACTTGCTCTCCCCAAACTGCCACCTTCTACAGCTCGGGTGAGTTCCCCTAAAGGCTCCAAACTGTGACCCCAAATAATGCGGAGCAAAAGAGGAAAGCTTTTCCATTACATTAAGATCTTTTTTTCAAACAGAGCTCAAATAACTTTCTACCAGCACAGTGGTAGGGACAAGGAAGCGCCTTTCCCCACTGGGTGTTCCCTTTGCTCCCTGTCAGTAATTTGGTTCAGAAACGTCTGTGATCGTGGTCCCGTAGATTTGGGTCTCCCAGTCTGAGAGCTGTTTCACAAAGCCCCGGTGTGGCCTCGCGTTCGTTTTGCATTTCAGAACGTAGTTCCAAGCTCTCTGTTAAATGGAAGGAAAGCAAAGGAGCGTTAGGAGTTTGAACTGGAAGGGAATTCTGGGTATTTATGCGAAGCAGCTATGCTCGTGAACGACATGGCTTTGTATTTACTCCCTGTGTTGGACAGTAAGAACCTGCAGATCAGACTTTGGCTACCAAGGCAGGGACAAACTGGATGAAGATATGAACCCTGTCACCCTCACACTCTTCTCTCCTGGATGCAAGGACAGCTCAGGCTGCTTTCACTACCCAGCAGGTATCTTCCGTTGTTTCACACCGATGGAGCAATGCAGTCCTGGATTTTCTGCCCTGTTTCTTCCATGGACGACAAGCAAAGCAGTGAAGTATCAGCTGTTCGCGGGTAAGCAGCAAAGGTTATCGTGTTTCTGGATTGGTGTGACCTGTCGTGGCAGAGCAGCTAGGAAGCTCCCGTTATCCCACTGCATTGATTACAGCCGCCTTAATTATTTGTTAATTCCATGTAATCAGCTAGGAACTCTGCTACACCCAGGGCAGATCCCACCGGCATTACACCGCTTTACTCCAGCTGCATCCTTGGGTTTACCCAGTAGTGCTCATCTTCCTGCTTTTAAAATAGACTGACCCCCACGCCCACAGGATTGCTTAAGCGTAACGAGACCAAAGGTTAGAAGATCGTGCTCCCTTGGTTTGTTTTTCTAATCTCAGTGATTCTGCAGGCTCCGAGGCTGATCTTCCAATATTTACTTCTCTGGGCCTGTGGTGTGGATGTTTGTAGTTCCCCCGAACTCAACAGATGTACTCACGTATCGATTGCTAATAGAATAAGGGGCCGCACATCCCAAATCTGCCTTTCTTTTGCAATATCCCCGTCTTTCGAAGCTTTCAAAGCTCTTTGCCTAGATTGGGTGAAGGATCACACGGAAATGTGTTGCACTGCTTTTGTCTGCAAGAAACAAACTTGTCTGCCAGGGTAATCCCCCAGGAAAGCTTTGCCCAGCAAGCACTGCCCAGGCCAGCCGCAGCACACCACTGCCACGCCAACCTTTCCTTCCTCCTTTTTTTGGCACTTAGTAAAATGCTGAGACCAACCTGGTGATACCAACGGAGAGAAACTGCAAGGCTCAGCCTTTGACTTTTGCACTGCCATTGCAAGCACTTCCAGTGATTTTGCGTGCAAGGGAATGGTTATCAGCGTGCAGGAGCAATCCCACCCAGCGTTAGTAGCAGAGATGAAATAGCGTTTGCAGCCCTGTTGGCACGTTCAACCCGAAATTACCCATTGGCACACAGCAATGGTAAGAGATTTCCTCTTATGTTGCAAATGTTTGCACAAAATCAATTAAATGATTAGATACAGGCCCAGCTTCAGTGAAGCTTGGCTCAGTCCTTTCAAGCTCCCAAAGGAGGAAACACTTTCCAAATGAGGATGAGATTTTTAAGGAGAGGCCTTTCAGTTCCCATGGGAACTAGCCTGCTCTCTGCTAAGCGGGCACCATGAGATGGTGCCTGCAGCAGCACCGTGCTGGTGCGCTGTATGCAGACGGAAGGAGGGCCTGGCACCGGGGAAGAGGCTGCCAGGCCATCACACAGCTGGGTCATTCTCAGCTGTCATTTGTTACTTTTCTTACGTTATTCAGAGGTATGGAACAGAGTGTACAGGCCATTTATCCTGTACATCCCTCCTGGGCTAGTAGTATCCCATTCCAGATTTCTGTACAGTACTACCTGTGGGAGGGGATTGCATCTGGAGAAATGAAATAGGATTTTGGAAGAAGCTATTGCTGCTGAGCCCAGTGGTAAATCAGAGCCCTGCAAGCACTGGATTCTGCATTTCCCTGTAACCCTGTTGTATTAAGGGATGGGATTAACTCCAGTAGCTTCCAGATACTCTCTTTCTCAGATCGAGGAAAGTGGAAATACTAAATTCTGTAGGCACAGCTTTCTTTTTATAGCCCCATAATTAAGTAGGAAAACACAAGAATATCACAGATGCCAGGGTAAGGACTCGCATCCAAAAATCACACCCAAGCCACCTCCTTAATGGTATAAAGAAAATAAAATCTGCTATAATAGGATCTGTTCATTATCAGGTAGGTAGTCTGCATGAAAGCACAGATAATGTCTTTCTCATTACTACAGTACTGAGGCTTCAGAAACAGAAACAAACTGCAGATGCAGCCAGTATCTGTGGGAAATACGACAGTGATGTACCTTCAGGGAAAACTGGCAGGAATGTATAAGATAGGCCATGATTACTGTGCTGCTCCGGCTTATCCCCAGGCTGGAGAACACCAGCACTGCTCCGTGATCCAGCTGAGCGTCTGAGTAAAGAAATGCCAATCACAAATTAGTGATCTGGGAAATCAAGCTTGCAATTGTACAGTCAAGCTCTAGCTCAGTGACAGCTGACAGACTAGCAGCCTGAGCGACAGGAACCTTCATGAACCCTGACAGCCGCAGATGGGCACTGCCAGCTCCTGTTTTTGTAAGCATTTCCCTTTCTTAAAAATCCACTGAGTTAAAACGTGGCTTTGAAGACCAGAACCAAATGACAATGAGCAGTCAATGCTTCATTAGAGACCAGTGTTACCTTTACATCACATAACTGAAGTGGCCTACCATGACCAATCAGCTGTGGTCAGCATCACTTCAGCTACCCAAATTCTTCCCAGAAAGGTTTAAAGGTATTGAAATTTCTGATGAATGCAAGCCTAACCATTCTCCACTGAAGCTGGAGGAATCAGCTCTCAAACTGGAGGGACTTGGCCTTCAAATCCCCTATCCCTCTATGGGATCACCAGCAGGAAGCATGTATGTGCCAGCTAGGGCACTGGTTTTATGATGGTTTTTACGATGGATACTTTGCAGTGATAATTGCTAAGATCGGGAAACTAATTTTCTACAAAAGCTAAGCCCACTTGGCTTTAAGAGGGTGCTCCTAACCACATCAACTCTGCTACCTATGCCTGAAAGGTTCTATATTTTATTAATAACCTTTTGAATTCTATCCCTCCCTCTCCAGAGCAGACAGCATGACATGTTTTTGGAATATCAGCACCTGAACTCTAGAATTCATAGGGCAAGCCTCTTCTTTTACTGCTGTCAAGAGGTTGTGGGGTTTTGTGGTTTTTTTTCTTCAAGCTCTGAAACAGAGTTTTCTGGCTTATTTCTATCATGAGATACTAGTTCTGTTATAGGACCCGAGTAGAAATGGCCTCACTCTAACACACACCTGGCATGAGGACACTCACACTCCTCTCAGAGTATGTGGAGAGCTTTAGTCTGGTGTTCACCCATAACCGTTCCAGTTTACTCTACTCTAGACTGTCAAGTAAGCGGTTAGACTGTCAAGTAAACAGTTTCACAAGAGCTACAGCTAATAAACTCTTATAGTCTGTTTTGGAAACTTCCACAAACTGATGTGAGAAAGAAAATTTCTTCTGAAATACTACCAGGAAAAAACCTGGGGCAAAATGAAAGACAAAAGCATGACATTCAGTTCAGGACTACAAAATTATATGCTCAAATATTGTTTCCTTGGTTTTTTGTGTCCAGCTGTCATTTTGTCTTTTGTACTTGGATTATAAGGTCTGGGGGGACATGGTGGGCTTTTGCTTCTGGGTCTGTACAACACTAAGCTCACCAGGGCCTTGGTCTGTGGCAGGTGTTATTTCCTAAGTGTGATAAAAGATAACGACATGGTTGGACGCCATCACAGGATGGAGCTGCAGGAGCTATGGCTGCTGTGCTGCTGCAGGCACTGAGCTGGAGAGCATGTTTTTTCTTGCCCTCTCTGAAGTAACCAGCTAAAGGCATGTTTATACCATCCAACCTGAAAGTCTTCCTAGGCTCTATGGTGGGTCTGCACCACAAATGACAAAGATTAGCAGCGTCTTGTGGTAAGTTCTCTATCATGTGTCACACTTGTTCAAATAAGGCTCTGGTGGTTGAAGATTTGGTCTGGTAAGAGTCAAAAGGGTTGTATTTAAGAACAAAGGAATGGGAGAGAATCATATGAAACCCTGGTAGACACCCTGCAGCAAAGCCTTTTCAGATCAGGTAGAAAGCTCACTATTATCCATGAGCGAGGTATTCTTTAAAGTGAGTAGGAGCATCAGGGTGAGATGCCCTGTAAAATCTCCTCTCTGTCCATCAGGATGGTTAGTAAGGCAGCTCTGGTATCCATTAGGGTGTGGGCTTGCTTGGGAGTATACTGGTCTTGAAAGATTATGAACCCTCCTGTCTGAGCTTCCTGTTTAAGTGAATTGCAGTCACTCCCATCTAATATCCTAGAGTGAGCAAGGTCTCAGGAATTCCAGATCAGGAACAACTCACCTATGAAATGACAAATGGTGGCAAAGGTAGAGAAAAGATCTGCTTCGAGCAAATCTGGAACAGGTATATGGAGATATTTGCCACCTTCTGCAAACCTGGAACAAGAGAACACAGAGGAAAAAGCTTTGAAAAAATGTGTTTCTTGGAGGCAAGCTGATAATTTTGTTTGCTGTTACGAGTTTTTTGTTGTTGTCATCATTAACATTATGATAAGGGATTTGTTAGTGTTAGTGTCTTTGTCATTTGTTAGTGTAAGACACTGAGGTGCTTGTAATACAGAACCAGTTTAATTACTGATTTTCCATTCCACATGGTATCAGCATTGATGTCTTAACGTACAGCTTTCTTTGCCTGAGAGCTAAATGACAACAGATGAGCTGAAAGCAAGAGTACCTTCACAGTGTGCACGTTGGCAGTTTTGTGAATGTAGGCCCCCCCCCTTGCTTCATGTGGTTTTCTAAGACAGCATCTTCCTCCTTCCACAAGCTCAGAGAACTCAACTCAGAGAACTAATGGAGTAAAACATTGGTGATGAATTTTTGAAATGTGAAAGCACATCATGCAGAGGGCATGGGAGGATTACCCACGGTGTAGACCTTTGGGTATCTTCCTCTGGGGACAAAGGTATGAGAAATGTCTGCTGGTACGCATACACTGGGGTAGGTAACTGGATTTGTTACTTATTTCCACCTTGAGAAATGCCACTGGATTTTTCACTGTGTGAAATGGCATTTCAGACTGAGCACAATGGTCATGGACAGATGTAGGTAAGGAAGGAGGACCAATAATGTGAATCATCAGCAATTTAGCTTTTACACTGACATGTTTGTAAGATTTTGCTCTGAAACCTATTCAGAGGTGTAGGTTCTTCCCGAAGAATGGTGGTATGTGATAGAGTTGAAATGCCAAGGGCCTCCCGTGGTAGAGGGCTGCAGGACTGCATTGCTGCTGTGCTAACTCTGGAGCAGAGATCAGAAAAATGAGCATGAAATAGTATTCAAATCTGCAGTTTTCCTCCAACCAGAGGTTTCCTTGGAAGTTCACAGGCACTGACTCCTCTGCGAATGGGCTCGGGTGCTGTGCCACCTCTTTTTTTCACAGACACAAACATTGGTGAGGGTACACCCTGAACTGTTTTAACTTACAGTGTGGCAGGCTGTTCAGAGATGTTGACTTGTGCTGTGATCTTCAGATCTTTCTGAATTTGTTGGTCACAGGCCTGCTTGAAATTGCCCATATATAACTTTGCAGGCAGTATTTCTACAGGGTATGGCTGGAAGTTGTCTAGTTCCTGCCAGAGAGAAACCATAGGCTCAGTTTAGAGAGTGTATTTGCTCCTATCAGCTTGGTAAATTCTTGAACAGAAGTCACGTGAAGAATTGAACACACATTTAGTCAACAGCCCATGACACATTCTAGTGTAATGATTCATTTAATCACTTGGACCTTCTGTATGCTGAAGTCCTTGGTAGATTTATTGAGAATAATTAAGAGCATTGCTGTCATTGTGGCATTACTTGAAACAAGTCCTAATGAAACAGGAGTCTGGAGGGACTTCAGCATAACAGATTCATTTGATGTTTTCCCCGGTTACTGTTTGCAAGGCTAAATGAAATCATCTGCCACCTGCAGAGCTGCAGGTGCCATGTAGTGGCACAACACGAGGCCGCAGCTGGTTCCGGTGTCTGCAGCTGAAGGCTGGGGACAAAAATGCACAAATAACCAACTGTGCCTCTACATCACTCACCAATACTCGGCTAACGCTACAGCAGAACAAAGCAGCAGCCTAACAATTTAAAGCAACGGAGAACAACAGCTTAAACCAAGAGGTAAGGAGGTACTCTGTTACCAATTGAATCCGATGGGGAAGTTCAGCAGCTTGCTACCCTTCACAAAGCAGCACAAAGTGAATTGATTTTCTCTCCTGCGCTGTAGCATCCCACAGGTTAGCACCATGTCACGGGCACCAGAAGCAAACAGGAACAATGGAAACGAGAGATGTCTTGCAGTGAGATGCTCTCTGCTGCCCAGTGCCCTCTAAATCTGCCCTCCCTCAGGTCCTGTCCTTGGTGTGAGAGAAGGGTAATTGCTTCTCATAAGCTAAATGTTTGTGGATGAAACCGAACAATTAGGATACCACTGTTCCAGTGGATGGCTGTTTTCTTTCTGGGCCTGTTGAAACAGTGCAGCAGCACTTGCTCCATGATTCTTCCTGATGGAAAGCTTTACAGACATGGAACACAGTGCTTGATAGGAATTGTACTTCTGTCTGAAAACATTTACTGTGCAACATCCCAGATAACCACGTGTCAGAGAGCAACCTGCTTCTTTTCATTATTTTCTACTGTTTATTTAGTTATTTGTACTCTTCAGCAGGCTGGTTTTGGGGTTACCAGAGAAACCTTCCCAGTTTGTTTTCATGAGCTTTCTTTCATGCAATGGAAGAAGGCTAAAAAAGGCAAAAAGCGGCTGTAAAAGAATTAGTGGTGAAACTCAGGGCAAGCACAGTAACTCAAATTACATTTAATTCCTTTGAAATCACTCTGATACCAGGTTTAGAACACCATTTATCTTGAATTCATTAGCCATCACCAGTTGAATACGAATGCTAATGTCTTCTACTTGCAAATTAGTGTCATCTCACCTGCGGCATCCACAATATCTTCTGAGTCCTCAGAAAATGATAGCAAGCTGAAAAAAGCTTGTATCCTCCCCTCAGGACAAGCACGGGATGGCGGGTGAACTGCTCTAAGCTTCTGGCATATCGGACGGCAGTTCCTTCCTCAGCATCTAGTTAGATCAAAAAGTTATTTGCCAGGGCAGGTTTAAAAATGCCTCCACCAGTGCTGGGGGTTAAATCTGGCCCACTGACACTGATTTCATTTCATCTAATGATCTGCAGAAAGCCTTGTTAAAAGCCAGACTTGTTCTTTAACTGTTGCTGCAGGTCAGTAACGAGGCATGCTGCTCTTCACCTCTTGCCTTGATCTTTTATTCCTCTCCTGGTTTCTTTTGTAGGTCTGGATAATTTTTTTTCCCTCCCATTATTCTTTGGGAAATGCTTGTAATAAGTGCCCATAGTAGGAAGTATTATTAATTTACATCTAATAATCTTAGTTTTATGGAGGCCCTTTTCTTAGTCTGCTTTAGGCAAAGGAGGAGGTATCTTGAATTCTTCACAAGTGTTTTAAACACTCCCCTCAGTGAAGCAAATTATGTGAGGTGGCTGCTCCCCCTCCTTCTCCCACAGGATCCATCCCGCTTGCCTCCAGCTATGTCTGCATTAGAAACAGATCAGCACAATAGAAACCCACTTCTGATTCTTCACACCTTCCCTTGCTAATATCTCACCACCGACCGTTTATGAACATGCTTGCTTTATTCATTCCCCTTACACTCCCAGATTTTTTTCTTTAAAAAATGACGTAAATCTTTACTAAAACTATAGCAGCCTTTATAAAGCTAATAGGAGCCAAACAAACATACAGAAGTGGTTCTGCATATGGCAGAACTCCATGCCAAAGGATGTGTGAAAGCTAAACATTTCCATGGTTCAAGGAAGACCAAACAATTACATGGGAAAGTTTCCAGCTCTTCACATTTTTCAGTGAACTCCATCAAATCATCACGCCCATTAAAGCTAAGTCTTTTTAAAGATGATAATGCGAAAGCCTTTTTATAACCCTCAGAGAAGGAAGTACTCACTCTGTGAACATACGGAACTTGAGTCAGTGTTTTCAGTCTCTGAAGAAGCACTGCTCCCTGAAAGGCAATTGTTGGACAAGCCCAATCTTAGTGAAAAAAAAAAAGAATCCATTTCTCACATGTGATGAGGAACTTCAGAAGGATCAGTCCACAGATAAGAAACCAGAAAGCTTTGAAATGAAATCTGGATTTTTGAAGGCTAAGAATATATGCAGTGCAGTGAAAAACCAGAGGCATAGCACAGAATTTAGTTTTTCAAATAAAACTGGGTAAATTCACAACTCTTCCAATAAGCTCATAAAATTAAATGAGGAATGGGAAGAATATCTATCCTGCAGTGAGGTCTTGACTGACATGGGTCACAGGTACCTTTTTCTTCCTCCTCTTCCTCATCGTCATAGCAATCCAAAGAGCTGGTCTCGCAGTCATACACCACACAGTATCTGACACACCTCAGCTCCTCAGAATCTGGTACCAGATAATCCCCCGTAGGACTCTACCAAAAGCACAGAGGAATTCTATCAGGAGCACAGCTCCATGCTTTTCTTGAGGCCTCAACGCTACTGACATCTTGCAAGTTACTACTCTGCAGCTATGGGATGGGTCTGGGGCTACGTCTGTTCTTGACTCTGAAAGACCCAATTGAATTCAGAAATGATGCAAACTACACTGGACTGCTGAATCAGCCACAGCGGTAAAGATGCCAACACTGTCCTTTGTAAAGCAAGACTACGGCGTGTTAGTTCTTGTGCAATATTTTTCATGATATACAGCTCGTACGTGCCAATCCTTTGAGCTACTGAAGCCACCTTTGCTTTGTGACAGAATACATCCCCCCAGTGGCAGAAATGGAACATGGCTGGAACAGGCAGGGGAGAGGCTGGGACAGTTCCCTTGGGTTTTAAGCCAATTTTGTTTTACTGCTAATTGCTGAATCCAGGGATGATTCACACGAACGGTAATCCCCCCTCACCTGTTCAATCCTGCGTGCTGTAATAATATGGCTTTCATTGTATTCACGCTGGGTACGGGCATCTGAAAAAAAAACAACCAAGACAGAGCAATTGGCTTATTTGATGCTTTAAAGGTAGAATCCCATTCATAATTCAGTCAGTGGCAATTCAGGCAGCAACGTCAACCAGAAAGGGATTCAGTTTCTTGGAAACTGAGACTTTCTGATAGGAATATAACAAACCCCAGTGCTGATGTGAGTCTACATGTAACACCAGGTGATGCCAGCAGCTTTAGTCCTGGCCCAAGTGTGGTACCGCAGTGCTCACAGCGCCAGTCCCGTGCTCTGTTCTGCCTTACCCCCTCTCGCTGGTCCGGCTCTGACCACCCGGTATCCGGCACCTCCGCCTCTGTGCTGCCCCGGTGATAGGGAGAGGGGCACCAGAGAGACCCCAACCCCACTCCCAAACTGGCTGACTCTCTCGCCAAAACATTTAATAATATCGCAATATCTGGCACCCTTTTTTGTGTGTATCACCACTATGCAAGATGCAAATGCTTATCGGCAAATCTTTGTGCAATGGTCAAGAAATCTTGTCCGCCTGTAAAACCTCTGGGAGCAGCAGGGGAGAGTGTGCATCCCTGGGACGGATGAGAGCAGGAAGAGCTGGACGTGGTGAGAGCTGGCGCAGCACCGGGTCACGGCATCCGCAGTGGGGTGGGAATGGCACCCCAACGGTGAGGCCGCGGTAGCTACAAGAAGCAGGGCGTGCTCTTCCCGCCGGCTCACAGCTCCACGACCCCGGAGGGCTGCCCAGGCCGGGGCCTGGGGCCCGGCTGCGGGGGGGGGC